ACTCAAATAAAAAGTACTCCAACAATACAAATATAAGGACTTAAATTTATAATATAACAGTTGACTAAGAAACAAAATAAGAAAATGAAATTCTGTAATTCAGTTTTCTTTGGATACTGAGGGAAAAAAAAATCGTGAATCACACTGGTCCTTAGAACACGTCATTTTTTAAATCCGGAAATTTACATCAGCAATTTCTACTTTAGATATATTGTATATGGATCAATGTTTGGAATCTCTGCCAAATTTGGCAAATGATATCACGTGAATAAAGACTAAAGTGAGTTGTACTTTAGATATATTGCAATGTATATCTTGTATAAAATAATTAATTAGTTCATGTATAGAGTTTTACCATATTTGAATACACACACATGAATCTTGTAATTTATATTTTAAAATTTTTTAGTAAATTTTTAAAACAGAAAAAAAATTAAGTATAACACTTGTTGATATGCATTTAATGCATAAACTTAATGTGTGTTTCAGAAATATGTTAAAAATTTTATAAAGGTGAATCCAAGGCAGAAACTTTAATTTGTGGTATTGAAGCATACATGAATCTAAACATGCTATTAGTGAAATAATTAATATTTTGTTCCACAAAAAATACATATTCTTGAATGAGAAAGATAATATGCTATAGACTTGAATGAAGTGGTAAATTACCAATGTGAAATTCAATCCTTTTGTTCTATCAGTGAGGACAGTCCTTCTCATATAGAAGCTATTGAGATATTCGCCCAAAGATTCTAGTTAACAATATACATTCACATCCTTAACAAATGTTATAACAATTGATAGAAAGTCATAAAGATGGTATTCTTATCAGATCTATTAATTAGTATACCTTTGGGTTAGATTGTAATTAGTGGAAACTTATATATACATTACAATATTAAAGTTAAGTTTGCTGTATTGGAAATCTTTGGTTGAGGCAATTGTCCTAATTTGTTCAATGATGCAACTCTGCAACTATTTTTTTTTTAGTCATTGATGTATACATAATCTCAAAACATCATCAGAACAAACACAAATCACTGATCTACGTGTGTAAAATACCTAGAAAACATTCACCCCTTGCAAATTAATTTTGCACCTAAAAATGGAAAAGTAGTCATTACTAGATTCTTGGGAAACAGGTTTTAGAGTCTAGACTTCTAGATATTTGACATACATAAAATTTGATATACATAATAACTATCATATTATTTAAGAGTTGGATTTATTAAATTTATATTTTATAAAGAATTATTGAGCAAAATAACTTTGACTAGAGTTACTCTAAAAGTAACTTGATCTCCACCTTATATATGTATGTATATGGAGAAAGCGTGCATGTCTTATGTGAAGTTTGCCAGCCTATGCATGAGGTACTAGCAAATTATTTAACATCTAGCATAGCATCCTAAAAGTTTAATCTCAAAGAAAATTGTATTCTATATAACAAAGATCTGTGTTGAACTTTGAAATAGAAGGATACCATCATCAGCATATGGATCATCTCCGAGAAAATAACACAAATTTAATAAGCTGCTTGCAGCTTTAGCATCATGGATTTCAAAATTAATTCAACTATTCAAGCACCATCAAATTCACTACTAAAAAGTCTGTTTATACAGACGAATTTACAGACGGAATTTTAGAGCATTACAGACGGTTTTTTCTATTACAGACGGATATAAACCGTCTGTAATATCCTCGTCGGTAAATAATTACAGACGGATTTTCAAATCCGTCTGTAAGTTACAGACGGAAAAATCTGTCTGTAAGTTACAGACGGTAGAATTTGTCTATAAGTTATAGACGGTAAAATCCGTCTGTAAATCACAGACGGAAAAATCCGTCTGTAAATTAAAGACGAAAAAATCCGTCTGTAATTTGTCGGTGATATATTTTACTATAATTGATATTTTTCTATTTGTATAGATAGTTATTTCCTACTGTTCTTGATTATCACAATTTATAAACAAAATAGAAACTATAGATTCGACATCTAAACATTCCAAAATGATTTATAAAATATAAAATTTAAATGTTGTTACAAAGGAAGAAAAAAAAAGTATCTAAATAAATACATTTAAAAATAAAATACAAGTCTTCATCAGGAATAATCTATATGGTCAGAATCCGAAGGAGCATCATTATCAGTAGAAGAGGAGTCATGGAGGTGAAAACCGGTGGTGCTGGAGCTGGTGGAGGAGGAGGAAGAGGTGTGGAGCTGCTTGCTCTCATGAGCTCAAAATAAGCATGCATCTGCTGCATTTGCATATGCTGCTGCGTCATCTGCTGCTGGACCTCCCTTTGCATTCTCGACGCCACCTTCTTCTCTATCTTCTTCTCCATTTTCTTTGCCCACTTCTTCTTCCATGCACTTTCTTTGCTCTTCCACATCTCCTCATTCTGCTTCTGGAGTTCTTCATTGAGGGCATGGACCTGAGTGCGGACCATGTCCTCCACATCCTCAGGTGCAAGAGAAGGGGCATCTCCAGTGACAGATGCAGGGGATATGGAGTCTGCAAAGCGGCCCCCCATGCCATAGGAATCAAAGGCAAATAATGCATTCTACTTTGCGGTACATCTTTATGTTTACCACTTCTACCACCTCTTCTTGGTTTAAACCTAGGCTCTCCACAGAATTTGCAATTGGTCAAAACAACATCATCTTTGTAATACAGCATGCAGCCTTTCAAACAACAATCAATTTTGACTTCTTTTAATCCAAGTTTGGAAACTAATTTTTTGGCTTGGTAAAAGTCCTTTGGGATGGAGTCAGGTTCGGGACTAAGCTCACTAATTAATGTAGCCCATTGATCAAATGAACTCTGACTTTGATTGCCTTCTGACTTTATGCTTAACATTCTTATTGCTAAAGATAACTCTGAATGCACACACCCATCCCATAAAGGCTTGTTTGCTGCTTCTAAAATATTATAAAACTTTGCAGCCTCTCCATTAGGTTCTTGTTCAGCTTCAAAATCATGAAAAATTCCAAATTCAGGACCAACAGCATCATAAACCTTTCTTGATAACAACTATTGCTTTCTTCCACATTACCTACATGACCACCTGATTGTAATATATTTGAATTACCTACTTGATTTTCTAAATTAACTTCTTCCCCATGCTCAGTCCATATCCAATAATCATGTTTAAATCCAAACTTATACAAATCATATCTAATTGAATCAATATCCAAAAACTTTCTACACTTGCACTTAGAACATGGACACCTAACGACCTGATTGGTGATGAATTGCTGCGAATTACAACAGACGCGTATAAATTCTTCTACACCCTCAAAAAATTCAGGTTTTATTCCCCCCCGACTTGAGTGCAACTTATCATACATCCACTGACGATTTCTGAGAAACATCTTCCTCAAGAACTATATAAACCTAATACAAATATATAATGTGGTATCAACCTTCTAAAATACATTACAGAAAATTTTAATATAAATTTTGGCAGAATCTCCCCTAATACATGTTAATTTCCTTACATTTGTTTACTATTTTTTTACAAAAATGAAAATTTCACCTAAAATCAACTAATAAATTATATAACAATAAATTATTCGATACATCAAACACAAACACATCACAATCCTAAACCGTTCTAGAGCACATCCCCTTGTAACTCCACAACATGCATATTCTACAAACTCCACAAACACAAATAATCCCACAGCACACAATAATCAGGTTCGGAGAAGGACCTCTACGCCCTTCCCCCCAGTCATACAATCTCCAATCCTACAACTCTATCTTAGAAATTTTAAGTCTCTAAAAAACATAAAAAATGAAAAAACTAAACCGATTAAAAGTTAGAGTATCGTATCAGGAATACAATGATGCAAAAAAACTTTCAAATGGTTGCTCCAATAACTCGCAATGGCCAAAACACTGAGCTGAGCTCTTAGAGAGAGAGAGAGAGGGGGGAGCGAGAAAGAGGGTTCTGATAATGGGGGAGGGGAAGAGGAGACGCGGTTTTAATGAGTTTCAGTCATTACAGACGGGAAAATCCGTCTGTAATGGGTTTAATGAAACGGTGCGTTTCAGGAGGCACATTACAGACGGATTTTTCCGTCTGTAATGTGCCACCTGAAAGGTCGGCTAAAACCGCCATATTTACAGACGGAAAAATCCGTCTGTAATTTTTCGCTATAATATTTCGTCTTATTTTCAAATTATAGACGAAAAAATCCATCTGTAATTGCTGTCTATAACGTTTGGCGCCAAAAGGCAGGCTAAATACAGACGGATTTTACAGACGGGGTAAAATCCGTCTGTATTACAGACAGATTTTTCAGAAAATAAAAAAAAAAATTATTTCACAAATCCGTCTGTAATACAGACGGATTTTACCCCGTCTATAAAATCCGTCTATATGAAGCGCTTTTCTAGTAGTGATTAAGAAAAGCACAACTTAGTTAAGACACATTATTAAATAATTAAATAAACAATTAATGGGATAGGTTATCTTAGTGAGGTAGCTAGTATAGTAGGATTAATTAAATTGTTACATAAATTATATTATATATCAACTTATCTTCTGCATCTAAAAAGTGTGCTGCATGTCTGCTTACTGATTGGTTGATCAAGATACATTTAATTAGTAGATATTTGAACTCCAAAGATCTCACTCTGCAGGCCAATGGCTTATCTTCTTTTGTCTCAAAATGTTCTCACAAAAGAAAGAAAAAGGGTCATCAAATAAAGTATTTAAGGAAAGCAAGGATTATGGAGGATTTGTATGATTTACAAGAATGTACCTAAATACAAGGAAGTATTATTTATTAGTGATAGGGAAAAGGCTTGTATCAAACGTTATGCCAGAATCTGTAAAATCTGTAAAAGAAAGAGAGAGAGAAAGAGAAAAAAACTCAAAGATAAGGAACTTTGGTTCCTTTTACTCTATTTATAAGCAATGATGGTTGCGATGAGTGAAAACACTTTGGCAGAAGCTAAAAGAAGAGGAAGAAGGGGAGAAGAAAAAAAATGTCACCGGTTGGATTACCACCTGGTTTTAGGTTCCATCCAACAGATGAAGAGCTCGTCAACTATTATCTTAAGAGGAAGATCAATGGCCAAGAAATTGAACTTGATATCATTCCTGAGGTTGATCTCTACAAATGTGAGCCATGGGAATTAGCAGGTTATTCTCTATAACTACCCTTCAATTATTCCAAATGCTTTGCTTCTCCTATTTGTCATTCATTTATCCATTTACCTATAATTTCCACTTGTCTTTCACATTCACATTTTTAACTCACAGAAACACATTCAAACAAAATAACTTTCAATTTTCAATATCATGCAAGAAATTGTGTTTTCCATTAATCTAGTCATAACAAATTAAGTTTCAAAGTTGGATATTTAATCAATATTAAAAAAAGAGAAAGAAAAATTCCACCTCCTCAAAATATGTTCTAATTAGCTATATCTTTGGTAGATCCTGCAAGTGTTTTATTTTCTATAGAAATTTTCTTAAGGTAGCTTTGTCTTAGGCAATGAATATTAATTTGATGCACTATATAAATCATACGTTTTCAATTAGGCAAAGTCCTTTAACTTATTGGCTGATTTTGTTGGAACATGTAATTTTTGTTTTGCATGGTTAGAGAAATCATTTTTACCAAGTAGAGACCCAGAATGGTACTTTTTTGGACCCCGGGATAGGAAATACCCAAATGGGTTCAGAACAAATAGAGCAACTCGTGCAGGGTACTGGAAATCCACTGGAAAAGACAGAAGAGTTTCATGCCAAAGCAGACCTATTGGTATGAAGAAGACTTTGGTGTACTATAGAGGCAGAGCCCCTCAAGGGATCAGAACTGATTGGGTAATGCATGAGTATCGCCTTGATGACAAAGAGTGTGAGGACACAACTGGATTGCAGGTACATTGAAGCAATATGAATAATATATAATATGATAGCATTATAAAGTAAAGCGGTTAATGTTAGTAAGTTAACCAAAATGATTAAAAAATGACAAAAAAAAAAAAAGGCGATAAAACAATACAGTCACCTTGTGGCAATTCTTGCATCGACACATATGTACTGTACAAGACCAATGAAAATTCCAAGATACATTAAAATAATAATTGAAAAAGTTAGTAAAGTCCTTATTGAACTTATGATAATGTTATCTTGAGTTTTTAATTGGTTATGCTTAATTGGCATTGGGCTCATGTTAGGATTGCTTGTTGGCTTTTTAGGTGTATTAGTACCTTTACTTTTATAACTCATTCTATCAGTTCTCATAATCAAGCTTTAGATGCGCGTATTTGCTTCAACTTTTTTTTGAAGAAATAATGAATTTAATTTTGTGAGCATCTTGAAAGTGCTTAAAGAAATGCATTACCAAACGTGCAAATTGTACAATTAATCTGCCATGTTGTTGTGCATATTCACAAGGCTGTCAAAACTCCTTTTATTATAAAATCAATAATTAACCACTTCAAATTTTCTGGCTTCTAATTGGTGCAATCAATGAAGTGCAGTATGTTAAGAATTGGAGATGATTCTTAGGCCTTGGAGAGGGTATGAAAGTTGAAGGTGGTACATGAGCATGGCAAATAAGTTTCAGCTTCCAAAAGCTTTACAAGTCACATCTTAGAAAAGTGAATGTTTTGTTTGTCTTTAGAACTAGTCACTGGTGCCCGCCTGACCCTTTACTTACTTTCAGAACTCTCTTTTGTTTGTGTCTAATGTGCACACTTGTCATCACATATTTGACCTGAAAAGCATGAAGTTCCATGCTTAAGGCAGTGACAAAAGCATTTTTCATTGATTATTTTCCCTTCCTCTTTTACACCAAAGACAAGAAGAAGAAAAAAAGACACATAAGCTTTAGTTCCATATTCCTATTTATATGATCACATACTCACACACTAGAAACAATGTGAGTAGAACTTGAAACTGTAGAAAATTAATGGAGTACTGACGAGTGTGTAAGTTTGTGGATCAAGAACGTGAAAACTGCATGGCGTGCATGGAAAGCATGAACTTTTCTAGTAGTTTTATTCTCCCTCTCTCTCCCTCTCTCTCATATGTTACTTTATGTTTGTTTATTATAGGTACTCTATAAACGTATGGCTGACATATTCTTTACTTGCGTTATCTGATACCTCTAAAATGACAAAGTTCTACTGCACCTTGTCTTTTCTTTTTATTAATGCATGTAAACTATAATGTAATGTAATGAGACAAAAGTACTATCCTAATGATCCTATCCCTTATTGATTAAAATTCTTTATTTATTGGTCTTTGTCAATTGTCATTATTATCTGTTCAACCTTCCTATTCCTGATCTAGAATTATTAGATTCTATAAGCTACTAGGCTTGTGCAGCTCATAAAGCAGCTGCAATTCTCCCGTCACTTTCATTTTGTGTCGGTTACTTTTTACTTTATTCCTAAACACCAAAACAGACCAATAGATATACTACACTATACCCTATAAATTTTATTTAATAATTAAAATAAAAAAAGAAGAAGGTTGGTACCAGTCAATAAGCAGGATGTCCCTATGTCCAGATGCTTTAATTATTGCATGGAATTAAACAATGAAATTAACATATATAATATATGTTTCACCCTTTTAGTAACCTAAAAGTGTTCACTTGATTAGGATGTTTAGTCGTAGCATTATTAGTACTCTTAATAAGAAACATGGACCAAACATTTAGTACTCTCTGCATCTTTATGTCACGGATTTGTTCAGAGATTGCACTTTACGGTTTTAACTAACACATTGTGTAGATCTGTTATAGGCCTTAATTTTTGACTACACTGCTTTAATTGATCATTTCAAATGTAGGCTAAAAGATCAAAAGCAATTTGAGAAAAAAAAATGGTTTAGGTAAATCCTACACAATATCATTCTGTGTTACTTTAGATTGCAATAGTTTATATAAACCCAAAAGAAAAAAAAGTGTCACCAACAAAAGTTCAAATGAAGTTCCTTTAGCGTGCTAGTTAAAGAGTTTGGTTAACTAACTTGCAGGATACTTATGCATTGTGCCGTGTGTTCAAGAAAAATGGAATCTGCTCTGATATTGAAGAGCAAGGGCAATGTAGTATGTCACTAATTGAGAGCTCCCATACCATAATTAATGAGTGTGAAACAATGTCTCCAGACATACCAGGGGCATCATCTTCGTGCTTGGAAGAGGAAGACAAAGATGATTCATGGATGCAGTTCATTACAGACGATGCATGGTATTCTTCTAATGCAGCTATTGGTGGTGGTGAAGAAGTCTCACATGTTACGTTTACAAACTAATATTTTGAAGACCTAAAATGGGAGGCCAGATTGGTGGTGAATAACTTGAGAGCTGGATATAAAAAATAATATAAATATATATACATTTCATCATATAATAAAATATATATACCTTTTCCATAACTGTTATTAAGAGATTTAACTTTTACTTTTCTGATTATTATACTTAATTGGTGAGGATGGTTTGGTTTGTTTTGGTTTGGTGGGCTTGTTAATTAGGGTCATATTATGGCATTGATTTTATACATTTTTGTACTAACCTCTATCTCGAGGTGATATGGGTGTTATTTGTGGAATAAAGATAAATCACAACTCAAGTGTTAATTAGTTTCATTATATTTTCTTTGAGGGAAGGAGTTATAGCAGTGAAAGGCAATTAAGTGAATGACCATGTTAAGCTTGTTTGCCAAAACTTTAGACATACAGTGTTTGGTCAAATAATTTGGAAAACAATTGATTTCTAAATGCTACAAAGGACAAGACTAACATTAAGAAAACTTTTAATCCAATGGAATCTTTAGATTATTAAAGCGACTATTCAAACAAGAGTTTAAATTACATAAAAAAAATGAGCTTCTTCATTGATACTCAACAAATAGTTAAGAGAATTGCATAATGCAGTAACTGATAGAGCTATCTAAACATTTCACAAGGCTTTGCAATGTGAGCAGCATACAGAACACCATGTGTAAACTCTTTCATCTCTCCATGTCAAGTGAAAATTTTCAATCATACTTTCCATTGTTCAAATTCATCAGCTATTAACATGAAAGAGCTGGCATTTCGATGTCCACCACCTCCAAATTCCTAACATGAGAGAAAAAGACATTACGTACAAATCCAGCTAAGAAGAGTCAAATACAAGATGAAATTAGCAATTTGACAAAGGAACAACCTGAGAGATGGGCGTTGTATCTTCATTTTCTACACTCCTCAGACTTATTTTTAGCCTTTGGTCATTTTCAAGCTCTTGTACTTTATATACAACAGCACCAATACCCCTAGAAGTAAAAATAAGTTCAAAACAAATGTGAGATATCAATGAGAAAACAGTAAATTGTGTCGGCCTAAGATGTAATAGATGATTTGGTGGAGATATTACAAACATTCTGTTTTGATTTTCCACTAATTATGGGACTCCAATCATCTTATCCTATTTCTTTTGTATCATAGTTAAAGGTTCTTTCTTTAATTTTCCATACACATTGTTTAAACAGCTTCATGTATTAAGGGTTTCGGAATGAAAAGACAGTACAATTTCAACAAACTGATTATATAGATTCTTGGTCAATGCAATTGCAAGGTCACAAGAGATATAAACATGTAAAACAGGTTTCAAACCACCAAATTAGTAGTAGAATGGACAGGAAATTTCATGTTTGAGTTCCATCAACAAGAGTCCCTTACAAATCCTGCAAGCAGCTCTGTTCTTCCTTATTTATCTACCCCTTTAAAAATTCTAGATATCTATCCTTGAAGTTTATTTATCAAGTTAATTCTAACTAAATCATTCTATAATCAGAAAATATTTGAACAAAGCAATGGATATTCACTTAAAAACAAATTAGGCTGTGGCTATGTGATAGGAACTGAATTTACTGTGGATTAATAGAGAAAATACTCAAAGAACAGTGATCTGATTACAAGGGTAATATGCAGAAAGTATAGAAACTGAGAATGAAAATTCAACAAATCAAAGAAGGAAAACTTCTCTGCCCTGTGGCAACAGGCAGGCATCCCAAAACTACCCAAATGATTGCCGACATCTCTCATTTCCCCCCTTTTCCCTTATATCCCACACAGCCTCTAACTTTACCACAATGCTTTTTACTGCATATGCTAATTACTATTTCTTAATTCATTTTCCTACCTCCTCTTTTAGCTTCACTTTCCTTTCCCTTCTTATTCTCTCATCTCGTAGATAATATAGGAAAAAGTTCCATAAAATCCCTTCTTCTACAAAAAACCCAACTTCAGAATTTGAAAATCCTTTTGCTGATACAGTTAAGTTCCATGAAGCAGCGTTGATAAAAAATTTAATGACAAAATACATACCCAATCATATAATTCCTGAATTCAAGCAAATTAGTACTTTGAAGGGAAAGATTGAAAGCTTTCAATTTCTACCATATAACCTCTATAATAGTAAAACTAGGACATCTCAAGGGATTTTCCAAGCACTCAAATGGAGAATCAGCAACATGATTGAACTAACAGTGACAAGAAAGTAAAATGAACAAACCTCAACTTCATTTTCTGGCTTTTAGTAGCTAATTGATGTCCCAATTCACTCCTTAACTCTGAAAGAGCAGTATCTGCATTGACAGCCTACAAGGAGAAATAGTTGAAAGGAACAAGATTTTCATTTGTTCTCTCCTTCTAATCAAAAGAAGGTGTCAAAAAAACACAACAAAGACTCTCAATATACGTATTGAAAATTAGCATCAATGCATGCATAACCAAAAATGAAGATGGATGGGTTCAAGAAATTTGACTGCAAAAGCAAGGCACAAGGGAAGGAGGGGAGGAAACAGAGAGATTTTGAAAGAAGGAAACATCAACCATACCAGGCAATGACCATATGCACCATTCCCTAGGGCGATTTTATAGGACTTGCCGAGACAATCATCAATTAATTTTTGCTTGTGTGATAAGCTGCGCATGCCTTTACTAATAACAGTATCCAAGTCTAATGAAAGTAACTGCCATAATTCACAAAAATGTCAGTTATTTCAAATATCTAAATAAAGGAAGGACAAAATAATTTCAGCTCATATTATCATGGTGGCTTCTATTCTGATTTCACTTACTTCAGCAACATTAAAGGGCAAGGAAAAAAAAAAGGAACTATCATTCCTATTGAGGCAACGAAAATTAATGGAAAAACTTATGCAAAATCAAGACTAAAGTGTCCACACTCCTCAACCTTAGAATTAAGTAGAATCAGCACCCAATGAACTCATGAGCAAGTTCACAGGAGAAAATAAGGGAGCAAAATATCTTCATGCAATTGCAACTTAATAATGCACATGCTAAAATTAGACAACCCCAAACTCAAATTATAACAAAAAAACAGAAATTTTGGAAAAACCATGTAGCACAAAGGGAGCAAGGCAATGCACCTGGTCAAACAAGGAAGGGTTTTTCTTGGCATCAAATTCAATGTTCAAATCCTTCAAACCACTGCTAAAAGCTTTGCTGTTCTGAAGTCTCCACCTCCAAAGGTCCCCATCTTCAATGTACTGAAAAAGTTGCCTTACACGCTCAATTTCATTAAGCACTGAGGGGTGCTTAACCACAACATCAGCACTCACAAGCTTCTCTTTGAAATAATCAAAAGCAATAGTGGCTCCACTCCTCTCCATGTCAACAATCTTATCCACATTCCCCCCAAGTGAAGCCTCACTTCCCAGCTTGTCAAGCGCAGTTTTGTGATGGTCCAAAACAATCACTCTACACCCGAAGAAAACAACACAAACAAAGATAACTCAATTTCACAACACTTGCAATAAAAAAAATGCATCCGAAATAAGACAAATACAAATTTGATTCTTAAACACCCCAATAACGTTACTAGTCGTCTCAAATCAACTACAAATATAACTTCTAAAACAATCCTCACCTTCTAGGTTAGTTTTTGGAACTGAGTTAGGCCAAACCCAAATTTGAGACTAACCACTTAATATTCCACATCTCTCTTTATCTCTCTCCACTTTGCATTACATCTACCATTTTATCTCTTTTATTCCTATCTATTTCAGGGCTAAGACACCCCAATAACATTTCCTAGGAAAATACACAAGAAAGTACCTTGGAACTTTGGTGGAGATTTCCCGAACAAAACCAGTGGGCCCCACAAAATCTAGTAGGTAAAGATCACTAATTTCATTCAGAGGAAGATCTTCAGCTCTGAAAATTGCAAGCAAAGACCAAAAATCAACAAAAACAAGAACCAAAGCAACGATAGCATATCAATGATTAAGAGCAGAATAAAGGGTGGCCATAAAAGTGAACAAAACCTGAGAGGGTTGTAAACGGTGTTGGGAAAGAAGAGAGGAGGGAACAAGGAAGTGGCCTTAAAGTAAAGATGTGCAGCGAGAGCAGCAAAAGCACCATCAGGACAAGGATAATGGTAGAGTATAGCAGGTGAACAATGATTGCCATTATTATTATTCTTCAGGTTCATTTTGATGATAGCATTGGAGACGTTGTGCAATTTGGCTTGTGACAGCAACATGGTTAAGGTTCTGTTGGATTGTCACATCATTGATTTCATGCGTCACGAATTGCCACCTCACAAACCTGTTTGAGAGAGTAAAAGATTTACACTAGTTTAAGATTAACTGCACTTGTGCAGTTTCTCTATCCTATGGTTCTTGTTTCATATTTTTGGTTTTTGTGATTTTATTTATGATAAAATTATTGTGGTAATTTAATGCTTAGGATTGTGTGCAGTTGGTTTCTATATTTAGGATTTGTACCTATTTAATGCGAGTTGTGATAAGATATATTCAGGTACAAATAAACAGACGGCACCCAAACATAGGAAAGAGAGAGAGAAAGATCTTATTGCTTTGATAAATTAAACTACTACTTAGATTATGATAACGTTTTTGTTATCAATCAAGATTCTCTCTGTTTAAAATATATTTTGGATCGGAATATTTAAAAAATATATTTTGGACCTTCTAAAATATGGATCTCAACTTAATTAAAGGAGGGTTTGTTTTCTTATACACATAGCAAAACACCCCAAAACTACAAACCTTACTAAAATCTGCCAAGGTAGTTTAAAATTTTGAAGAAAAAGAAAAATGGCTGGAGAAAAAAATCACTCACAAAACACTAACGTGCTTAATGAGAATGACTAATCTAATAGTTGGATTAATGAATTTTTTTCATAAAAGTTATTTAACAAAGTAAATTATTTAATATTTATTCTTAGAGTAATTAAATTGCTTTCCATACATGTGTGTGTGAATTTAAATAAATATTTTATATTTAATATAACAATGTTTAATTTTTTATTTATTGTAAGATTTTTTTTGGGTCAGTTTTATTGATTGTAAGATAACTCAATTAGAAAAAAACTAGCAAAGTTATTGATGATACAAATATCCAATGCAAAATATATAAATTAACCCAACTCAACTTTGCTCAGCAATGGATTGATTTGCAAAAGATCGAACTCATAAAAATTTAATGTTATCATAACTCAGGTCATTTAACTTGTGAGTTATACTAAGTTAATTCTTGGTGAGTTGAGATTTATTATTTTTAGAATTATTTTAATGTTAATTGATTATTCGATGACACATAATTTGATATTAATTTATTATTTTTTCTTTTTTTGACACATAGCTTTGTTATTATCAATGTTTATTTTCATATATTTTAAATATCCAAATTTTAAAATGTTTATTTTATATTAAAATTTATTTATATATCAAAATTTCAAATCTCACTTTAAGTCATTTATAGATCCTATCAGAATTCAATATTTTTTTTTGTCGAATTCAATTTTTTCGTCATAATCAAAATATAATCCAACCTTCGATACTTTGCGTTTTTTTTTTCTCAAATGAAACTTAACCCGACCAACCCGGTCCAGCCCACACATAAACTGCAATGTTTTGTAATCTATGCAGTGCTGAGGAAATAGGTGCTATCAGCTATGGCTAACAACGTTGTTGCTGTTGTTAAGGTAGCAACTCTTCCTCTTCCTTCATTATCCATAAAACACAATGCTTTCACTTTCCGCCATAAGATTAAGAGCCAAAAACGTAGACTTCATCTGAATTTTTCTCAAACCAATTACACAACAACCTCCTCCTCTTGTTCCTTCTCATCTTCGCCCCTTAAAAACAAAGGTAGTAGTTGCTTTGTTGTGGCGTGTCTTCCTTCTCCTTCTGAATCCTCAAACTTATCTTCTTCTACTACACCCTCTTCTTCAACTAAGCTCTATGTTAGTGGTAAGCAACTTTGTCTCTTTTCTTATTACTACCCTTTTCATTTTTCTTATCCAAATTGATCTATATTTGGTAACAACTCAAAAAGTTTTCAACTTTTTCTTTGTTCCTTTTATGGGTCTTGCCCCTATTGGGTGGTTGTATTGATAAATATCAACAATTTTATTTCTTGTTGTAAATGAGAATTGGTGTGGGTGGGGGGTGGGGGGACGTTTGGAAGATTTTCATTTGCTTTTAGGATGAGGACTAATTTGATTGTAGAGCATGGTTCCACTGTGTAGTTTTAGCATCGGAAACCTTTAGAATTTTATTTAGTATGTGAAATGCTGTTGCCTTGTTCAACTACTTGCTAAGACTAAGAGGAGTGCGTTGATTCACAGAATAGAAGTGAAAGGCTGGTATTTTGATTAGGGTTATTGTGAATTTGATTTTGAGCATAATTCAGTTTATAGAAAATTTTGCACTGTAAAATGTTCTGTTATGCAGAAAATTTAATGGAACGTTAGAACAAGCTTACCAGTATCTCTAGCTTCTATTAGGTATTAACATCATATATCATTTTTTTTAACCCGTGATGTTAAAAAACTATTTATATGAAATCTGAGAGTCTGCAATCGTATTTTTGGTTTCAGCCGTCAACCTCTTTAGGCGTCTATTTATTAGTTTCCAAAAAGCATTTAGAGTCTAGCAAAATTTTTTTTTCTTGTCTAGCTAACGACTTCATAAAACAAAGCATATTTTGGAATCTTTCATCGCAAATGATGTAGGCATTTTATCTGTAATGAACTTTGATGTCAGTCAGTTATATGCTGTGATTACTGATTACTCTTGATTCAATAGCTATTTGCTATCTTTGCTACAGTCCCCAGATTGTACTCATTATTGTTTGATGCATTTAGTTTTAGGATAACTCCTGCAGTCTGTTATGAATCCCTTTTATATTTGATTGTTTATATTCACGTTTTAGGATACCTTTTCATATGGTATCTCATGTTTCTTTCAGGATTATCATTCCGTACAACTGAAGAGAGCTTGCGGAATGCATTTAAGAATTTTGGTCAACTTGTGGAAGGTAGGGACAGGAAATAATGGTGTTTCCGTTATTCAATTATGCTGTTTGACTATCTATTATTCATTTGCCAGTTCTGAGAAATTTGTTGGTAACACTTTTTTCTTTGAAATTATTCTCTTAACTCTATAAACAGTCAATCTGGTGATGGATAAAATTGCAAATAGACCAAGAGGGTTTGCTTTTCTTCGTTATGCAGCTGAAGAAGAGTCTAGGAAAGCGATTGAGGGAATGCATGGAAAGGTATGATTTTGTTGTTTCTTATCGTGGTGTTATTATTTTAGGAACCTCAAATACATAAATGGAAATGGTGGTTTATCTTCTCGTTCAGGAGAGTAATTTGGAGAGAGAGTCCTCTGGATTGCGAACTATAAGTAATTTGGGGAGTAATTTGTTGTGTTTGCCAAGTGCTAAAAAGACATCCTTTGGTTAATTTCCCTATTTGTAATTACAAGTCAACTTGCTTATATACAGTACTCAAAGTGAACATAATCACCTATGGGTAGTATTCTAAATTCTAATAAACTGATTACTGTATGCACAAAAACATAGGGATAATAAAGAAGAAAATAAAAAGACTACTTTTGCAGATAATGTGGACTTTATCAGGAACAATAGACATAAAGATTAACTTGTGTATCTTGTAGAAAGCAAGAAAGGGGAAGGGGGGACAGGGCGATGATGTAAAAGGGAAGACGTTGAGCTTATGCTAAATCATTGCATGGATTTATATCCTTAGCTTGCCAATAGGTTGGTTGACACTGTTAGAATTGTACTTGGGTTCTTTGCATTGATTCCTCGACTAAATTTATATGGCCATCTTAATCTCAAGACTTATCTTGGTAACAAGAGTGGATTTTTGAAAAGTGAAGGAATAAGCATATACATGATTACACTTATATTTCTAACTACGGAAGAAACTAGATGCAACTTTCTAAGCGGGCAGTGAGTCAAAAAAATACTACAGTGTTATTCATGAAGCTGAATGAAATCCACTATTTTTGAAGCCTCTCTATATTTTCAATTGTGGAGGATTGTAACTTCTTAAAATTTGAGGCAGTCAAATTAAAGCTAGTAAAATAGACTGGCTTGATTATTCCCTGGTTAAACATAGTGTCCGAGCTTTAGATTTTAGGTCCAAACTAATTCTGGATCTTTTTGCCTGATCCATCTGAGCTTTTTCTTTGATCATGTTAGTGTGGGGCGGTGTATTTAAATATACAATACAGATCTTTTTTGCCTGATGTACTTCCAAGCACGAAATCTGGCTGAGGAGCTCATTTTGACATCTCTAAGTCAAATACTTAACATATCATTCACTGTGACACTGTCAAAGGATTTCTATAAAACAGTTTATTTTCAATTCCTTAAACTTGATCTTCAAATGTTATGCCTCCTCTGACTCAGTTTAGACTTTAGATTTGCTATTATATCTTGATGTTCTAATTCTAATTGACTAATAATTATTTGGCTTCAAATTTAAATTTCTATTCCTTTTTCCCCCTATTTGCTATTTTTAATTAAGTTAAAATAATTTTAAGCTATGTTGAATACTAACAAGAAAGGAACCACTTTTTCAGTTCTTGGATGGTAGGGTCATATTTGTGGAAGTTGCTAAACCAAGATCAGAGCTACGGCAAAGATTTAAGCAAGACACTAGATTGTAATGAAAGCCCAAAGGACACATTAGCCATGTGTTCATTGTGGTGTGCTATAATCACATTTTAGTATTGGATTAAACATCTACAGTTATTGTGTTTGACACTATATGCAAGGTTCCCTACTTGATGAAACTTTCTTTTGGGTCCTTTCTTTTCATTCACCCCGTTCCACCCTCAACATTCGGCAATGGAACTCATTCAAGCACTGTAACATGACTGCCATTGCATTATTCTGCATGCATTTGTCATGCTTGTGCCATACGTGTCTAATGTACTTATTGACAATGTTATATAAATGCCAATGGCGTGTACTGAAGTAATTGTTAACAGGAATCAAAATTTCGGTTGCTGACTTTCCATCACTTGATTTTAATTAATTTGAATCATCGTTGTATAGGGTATAATGAAGTTATAGGAAGTTGCATTTGTTTGGCTTACACTTCAGATAAGAGTGCGTTTTATAAGGTTTTGCAAGTTATCTTGTCTCTTATTTGATTAGCTTGAAGATCAAATTAGTGTGTGTTTGGAAAATAAAAGTTAATTGATTAATTATTCAATAAGCACTTTTTACATGAAATTTTATATAATAAATTTGATTGAAAAATTTTAAGGAATAGATTAAAAATAACTTATTCTAATAAACTATATTAAGAAATTTATTGAAATAAACTGATAAAATTTTATATGGGAGTTATACAAAATACTTTCATATAAACTCTTTGTTTCCAACACTTTGTTATTTGATAAAGTTCTTGATGAGTAAATTGAAAAAACAAACTTCTAATAAGTTATAAATTATTTTTATAAGCTTATAAACATCTTATTTAGTAAAGAAACCTATTTTGATTATTTATAACTTCTTTACAAAATAATATTCCATAAAACTGTTGAATTTAGATGTTTTTAGTTTGGTACTTTTTTTCATTTTTATTAATCATAATTCCTTCTTTATATCTCTGTTATATTGATTTATAGTTGTAAGTTAATTTAATAACCAATTTCATAAAAAAAATTAAACTAAATCAATCAATTCGTTGACTGTCAACTTATAACTTCCAGCTTTTAATCTTTTAGGTAATATTTTAGCTGTCACAACTACTTTATCTATTAATCTTGCCACATGCGTTCGGTGTACTAAAATAACTCAGATATTGTCACTTTTCTCTATTAAATTATTATTAGGTAACAATGTATATACCGTTGTTTTGAGACCAACCATTGGGCAAAGTGCGCCTAATTTCACTCCAGCAGTCAGCTAAGAACACAACACGGGAAAGGAACACAAATACAGTAAATCTGATAATGAAGAAACAATGTTTATACTCAAAAAAAAAAATTAATACAGAAAGAAAATCCAGATGTACAAAATGCTAGTGTGATTACAGCACACGACATTGAAATTAATAAATTGTCATGTCAGTTTCATTTCAAAGACAATTGTTATGACAACAACAAATCTTTGATGAACATACTGCGCTTGTCCACACTTCCTTGGTACACCCCTATCACTGATGCAATCATGCAATTAAAAAGACATGCCAAAAGTAGAAATAAAACAGTAACAATATACTGATGGTATATGTCTCTATTTGGTTGTAGTAACTATTAAATGATACAAGCCAGAACAGTGCCACTAGCCCCTGCTTGAATTATTGGACATGGAAGTGTTTTCACATGAAAGAAGGAAGAAAATCAGGTGGAGGTATTGGAAAAAAGAATAGAAATCAGATGCTTGCCAATTAGACAATTAGATCACAGCTACCTAAATCAGTTCCTTATTTACCACAGTTTTTCCTTTTTCAGATTAACAGCATGAATCATCTAAAAATGGAAGGAAGGCTATGAGCATACACGAGCTCTTTGCCCCTCCCTTTCTTCCATGGCAACAATTAAAGAATTTCCATCTCTTTTAGCTAAACATCTTTTGTATGGTACAAAACCCCTCGCACACTTCTGGGGTGCCCCTCCCCCCTCATGATATTTATGACACTCGAAATCAACAGCATCTGAGTTCTTGCCTTGATTTTCCATGTCACAAACTGATTCAGTATTAGAACCAGTGCAAGAACTCTCCTCTCTTGTTCTTGCTTTCAAAGAAGGCTGAAGAGACATGGGATTTAGGACCTGATTGCATGGTCCGAGGTAGAAAGCTGGAAGGCCTTGGTACAAACTCCACCTTGGAAAAGACGCATCAAGTGCACATTCACTCAGGCATAGATTCTCCTTTGGGGGCTCTATGTTGGTCAAATTAGCTCCATCAGCATCAGCTGTTATGTGCCAGTCACCACCACACGAACCTAGTGATAATTTTGTTTCTACTTGCTCGGATTCAGCTGATTGGCCAAGCTTTTCATTCTCAACATCATCTACTTCATCAGACTTTATTGGCTCACCATTCTCATCATCTATGTTCAGTGGCTTCTGATTACCTACCATAGAGACTGTTCTTCCAAAAAGCTTAATACTAGTGATGTGTGGCATATTGGCAGTAGCATCTTTGCAACATTCAGACTCCTTGGAACTAAACTCGGACTTCTGCAGTAACACCAGAGAAATAGAAAATCAGCAAAACATTAACCACGAGAGTTCTATGAACCATCAATTTGTTTCAGAAGCTAAATCATAGAATATCATGAAGGTTATCATACCATGCATATGTTTGGGTTAGAAATGGTGGATAAAGGAACTGAAGCCAGCGGCCCTTTCTCTTCCTCCTCAGATGGTTCAGATGTCATGCAATCATTTTCCTTTTCAACAGGTGATAAGCTGACTGAGTGAATATCAGTGGTGCAAGAGTTTGGTGAAAGACATCTGGTAGTCTGCTCTGAAAATGCAGACCCAAATGCTTCTGAACCAACTGTAGATAGCACAGAGGTTGGAGACCGGGTGTCTTTCTCTGCAACTAACATGTTTGTCGATGGAAATATTTCTGTTTCATTTGGTACAGTGTGACCTTTGAAAGAGTCAACTGATTTACGGGGATATGGATGGAGGGGTTTCCTCTTAGGCCGAGGAGGAGGTATGTTAATTGGCTGTATAGAACTCTCAGCACTGCCCTCAGATTCTCTCACAACCTGAAAACAAGTAGAGTGAAGCTTAAGAACACATGAGCCAATACATCTCTAACTTTAATGCTATAAATTTGAAAATGATCAAAATGTTTTGGTTATAGTAGAAATAGGTCTATAGACCAATCAAAATCCGATTCTATGTTTATAGCTTCCATGTTACTAGCAGGAATTATCTACTGAAATTTTAAAATAATAATAATAATAACCTTAGAGAAAAACTTTTGAGCATGACTTCGAATCTGAACTGCAGTTTTGGTACCTATATGCTCTGCAGGAAGAGAAAATGGCCTCATCTGACTTGAAGACAAATGAAAAATCATTTTCTTCAGATTAATAAATCAGGGCAGAGTTTATACCTTCAATTTGACGCCAGCCGCGACCATATAATTTCAAAGCTTCAAGGAACTTTTGATGCTCTTCCTCTGTCCACTTTTCCCTTTGTTTAGTAATGGTGTATGGTTTCCTCACCTAATGAAAATTGAAATAAGTTCCGGAAACCAAAACTTAAAGTAGAACCAAAAGGTAGTCCAGCCATCTTGCTTGATGAAAACAGAAAGAATATCTCAAAAAGGAAAGTAAAGCAACCTTGGGAGTATGGCTGTTTCCAACAGAAGGTATACGGGCAACATTTTCAGATTGTTTGCCCCCATTTGAGAGGCAGTTACTAGCCGTGCCAAATATGGTTGATCGTGTGCCTTCTATTTGGTCCTACATTCAATCGTAGGAGATGAATTGATAATTTCCCACCAATAAAGAAATGGAAATAAAAGAAAAAGAAATGGATAATTTCATAATGAAAGAAAATGATGCTCACTAGAATATATTTCAGTTCCTTTTAAGAAATAAAGTCAGTTCAAATTCTCTTTTTCCTATCAAATGAGGAGAAAAGTCTCCAGAAGACTGAACGTAAGACAATTGAAACCTGCTTCCAACCAAGTATCAGCATATTATATAGAGCCTATAAGGGCATAGTTCTTATCTCTTTCAAACACTAACCAATGCAGCTATACCCAAACCATAGCAAATATACATTTATATTCTAGTAAGAACACCATGTCAATAATGGCATACATGAAAAAGAAATCATCTGTCATGCTGACAAAGCTCTCTCTCAGTAATTCCCATCCAAAACTTCAAGGTGAAGAAGGTTGTAAATTGTTGAACAAAATATTTCTCAATTTTTAAAACATTTTTCATTAAAAAAATTAAAAAATTCACATATCACGTCTCACTACTAAGAGTGAATTGATCAAGTAGTGAAACAAAGAAAGGGGAAAAAATCTCAAATTACATATAGAAAACTATCAATTTCTTTGAAAGGAAAAAATGATCTAGTTACTATATTGAGCAAACCTAGTTATACCCCAAACCACAACTACTTCAATTGGAGTCATATCCAAGTTGCATATCCATTTTTGTAAAAGAAAATTCATTATGATAAGGCCTACCCAACGTGTACCATTCTCTACATCTTTAGATGGCGTCAATGAAATATAGATAGGTACCTTTTCCCACAAAAGAATAACATCTCATAGCAATACTCTTAAAACCTAGAAGCACAAAAACTTGGAAAGCACTTTACACAACCATAATGGCAGAACAACTAAGATGCTGATCAAGTTGCCACTCAAACACTGTTTCAAATTGTTATTTTATGAGGCAAACTGCTGAATAAATTTAAGAATGAAGAATCTTTCAAATCCAATTTCCATACAACTTCCATCTGAAGCTGAAATATTCTTGACACATATAACCATAGTCTCTACTCATAAATACAAGATTAAGACCAAACAAACAAAAGACCAAATGAAAAAAAAAAAGAATCAACTTAATTCCATATTTTAAATCATTCAACTCTCCAGTATCCAGTCAATGCAAAAATAGGAACAAAAATCAAGAGGGTATTCCAAAAAAATCTCAACATGAACTGTTCCTGTTATACCTGCATCTCCATTGAAGAAAAATCAGACTCAGTCCTGCAAACACCCAAAGCTTCACAGACACACCAACCCCAGCACCCTACAACAATAAAAGCATCCACCAATCAAGCCAAACCAAAAAAAAAAAAAAATGAATTTTTTTAACAGAGAAAAGAAAGATCACGAAGCATTGTTCATAATCTCTCTACAGTTTCTATATTCTCCCACAGATACTGCAAAATACACTGCTTTTATTTATTTATTTTTTTATAAAAATAAAACTCTTAGTGTCCTTGCACAAATCAGATCAATAAGACAAAACCGTGCGAGGAACTGAATCCAAACAAGGTTCTTGTCACAAACTCACAAATTGAGAACAATTGATACCTTGGAATTTTGATGGAGGCAACCAATTGGGAAACTCGCGATTTAGCAGTAAAAATGTGAACTTTCTCGGAAAAACTCAATTTTCCGAGAAAATCAGAGCAACCCAGATGGAGAATTAGAAGAGAAAGAGAGAATGAAGCAACGAAGAAGGTGTGAGCAGAGAAGGGGAGGGGAAGAACACAAAGGGAGAAACATTATAAATTAAAAAAAATAAAATTAAAAAAAATTAACAAAAAAGAAAAAAAGGAGAGAGTGACACGTCAGCTTGAAGAAATATTTTGGAAGAAAAATTAAAAGAAAAAGAAATTTCCATAGAGGATTCCAGAAGGCATTAGAGACTTGTGGCTGAGAATGGTCTGGGACCCAAGACACGTGGCGCGTGCTTGTGATGTCTAGCGATTAATTTTGATGTCAAAAAAATAATATTTGGTGAAAATTGTGGTGCTTCAGATTTTATTGTGGAAGACATGAATGCTAAGAAGATAATTGAGAAGATTTTTATTAAAATATGATTTTTTTTTGCTTGTTTTTTAGTGTCCCTTTTTTGACTTATTATCATTTTTGTTTATTTTTCTTCACGCGCGACTCTTGCACGTGAACTGTTTTAATATGTACACAAACATGAGAGACATTATATATATACAAAGAAAAATGATAAAATAGAACGCATAAAAAAATTATATAAATTATTGTATAATTTTCAATAAAATAATATTAATAATTTAATCATAATAAAACAAAAAAATATTAACATTAACTTGATCTAAAATAATTAAAAACTACTTATCACAAATTTATATTTATAATGTAATAATTTTTAATATTTATGAAACTAAATAAATAATTTATACATTATTAAAAATTACTTAAAATATTTTTCATCTTTTAAAAATATTTTGTTATCTATTTTTTTATTTAAAGCAGATTTAATTATCTTAAACAAATAATTTAAGAGAATTAGATTAAAAAGGTATAAATCATGTGATAATTTTAATAGAAATAAAAACTTAATATTATTCCTCTATTGATGTATACAATGTTCGAATGATAGATTGTGAGAAATAAAATAAAAATTTAATTAATATTTTAGAGAAAATTTATTTATTGAATATAAAATTTTGTATATATTATATTAGAGATTTAAATATTAAAATTGGTGTTATAAAAATTACTCTCCTTAATCACTACTCTTGACTAAAAAAATAAGTTTTATTATTCTCGTAAAACTATTTATTAAAAATAAATAATTAATAATAAATATATCACACAATAACTTTTATTATTGGCAAAGATAATATATTTAATCACATCACTTAATATTTAATAGATCAACTGTATATGAGAATCATCAGTCTATTCATGCTTGTCTTACTTGAAATTAATTATAGTTATCTTTCTATTGGTTCAAATCAAAGACTAATAATATATGTATTTAAATAACGTAATACAATATATTATCTTCCAGTCACTAATCTAATACCCTTTAGGTTAGACTGCAAAATCTAAAGTGAGTCTAAAAACTTGTCAAAATACTGAATTTTCTTTTTATGGGAGATAAATGTTTATTATTATTGTCTCATAGTAGTTGAATAACTAATATTTTTTATATTTTTTAATTTTTGTTTTTTTATTTAATTTAATTTGAATTTGATTCAAAATGTGTATTTAATGTGGTAGATAAATATATTATTTTAATTTTTTTTTACATATATAAAGACTTAAACGATTATTTTATTTAAGTGATATTGAGCCGCTTATTACTCAGAATAATTTTTAGTTAAGTTTTTCTTTTCATTAATATAGTTATAAAAAATTTATAATATATAATAATATTTTGATTAATCATATCATTTTTTTTAATAATTATTTAATATTAAAATATTAAATTTAAATAAATTAAAAGACAAAATAAAAATTTCTAAAAATATTAAACTAAATATATTTAAACCTATAAGTTAAAATCGAAGTGCCTTCTTAAACATTAACATTTGAAACTTGCTAATTGAATTGATACGAATGTTTAATTTTTTAGGCTTGGACCGGTAAAAGGAAAAAAAAAAAGATTTTTTTTTAAAATATAAAAAAATAAAACTTTATTTTTAAATTTTAATATTTTTTATTTTACATTTTTTAACTAAAGAATACATATTAAAAATTATTAAGTAACATAAAAACATAATATTAATAAATCCTAACTTACATAGAGTTATTGTGCAACTTGCAAGAGATGCAAGAAAAGAACAAGGAAAATAAAAGACCTGCTCAGGTTTAGACTTGCACTGTAGTTGCACATCTCTTCCTAAATTTAGTAATCTTTAACTGTGATTATATATATATATATATATATAATTTGATTGTTTAATCGGTGTATTTAAAAAAAAATAAAAAAAATAGTTAAAATAATCGTAAAATAAATACTAACTAGTGTTCTAAGAATACTATTATAGAATAAAAAATATTTTAAAAAATATAATGAATACTCCTTCTTCTATGATTTTTAAAATAATTCATCACAATTTCTAACAAAAATTGTACGTAAATCTATGATTATTTAATTGTAAATCTAAAAACACATATTTACATGTCGTAATAATGATCTTAGTGATTATAAGATGTGGATCGAATCTCTCCAATTGCCAGAATCAGAATTAAATATCACCTCTCAAAGAAGAGAAATTAAAAAAAAAAATCAGACATGCTAATTCAGACATAGAAAGAAATCTTATTATTATTATTAGTGTAAAATTTAATTAAACTATATTGATAATGTAAAAATTTGTCATATTGTTATTCAATTATAAAATTTTGTATTATTAAAATTGATTAATTTTCATAATTATTTCAAAATTCATATTTATAAAATTTTACCTCCTTAATCAAAGATATTAAGTTTTTTTATAAGTTAAAAATAATTTATTTCCTCAAATTTTAGAGAAGTTAAATTAAAAAATTTATAAAAAATATAAATGAATTTAAATTCATAATAAAATTTATTTATTTTTATTTAATTTTTTTACTCTTATAAATATTTATTAAAAATTTATTCAACTCCATTATAATAACTTCCTAATTATCAAACTGAATCACCTTTAACTTCTTACCATAGATATGTATTAATTTTTCGTACAAATAATTTTTTTTTTATAAAATAAATGTTTAAATAAGTATTAGTTTCTATTGAAATGCTTATCTAAGAAATTTATCAATTAAATTTTTTTATTAAAAATAAAATATTAATATAAATTTACTACTGAAAATTTATTACATCCATAAAAACTCAAATCTAATATCTTGCTTAAAAAATATTAGACTGTTTCCATTGGTATAAATATTTTATTTTAAAATTTTAAAATATATAATGTTTATAAAAGTAAATATAAAATTAACACATTGACATTATATTAATCTATTATTTTATAACAGAAGATGTGAATCATGTGCAGAAATCTTAGCCATTTACTTATATATCATTCTATCCAACGGCTCCAAAATCATGTCACCATGAACTGGTCCCTTCAAGAAACAACGGAAGAAAAATCTCCAAATAGAAACACTCATTCACCACAAAGTTCAAACAATGCCACCAACATCACATATATTTTAAAATGTATAAATACCGTTTTATCATTATTTTAAGAGTTTCAACTTAATTTACCCACACTCTACAATTATTTTTATAATATTAGTATTGTTAATTAATTATATAATATTTTAGTTAAGATACTTGTGATTTAAAAAAGGTATTCATCATATTTTTGTATTTTTAATAAATAATTATTTCTTTTAAATGTTTAAATTTTTAATCATAAAATTTGAAATTATCACATTTTAATAAAATAATAATTTACGATTGGTTAATATTATAATTTTTGTGAACATCAAACAATTTTGATGTAAGTTACACCAACTTTTATACTATTTAATATTTTTATTAAATAATTTGATTTTTAAATAATTTATTAGACTACAAGTTTTAATTGTAAAATTTTAAATCTATACAAAATTATTTAATATTTTATTTATATACATTAAAATTAACAAAATATCTAATTTTAAATTATATAAAAATAAAAATTATTTATTTATATTATTTTAATTGTTAAATTTTGATAAATATTAGCATTGATAGTTAATATAATATATAGTTATAATTTAAATTTAGAAAGATATCCACGGCAGCAAATAGTTAAAGTTCTTGTCGTGATATGGATATCTTTACCCATAATTATTTCACTATTAAACAAATACTTTATTTTTAATATATTATTAATATAAATAATCATATACTAATAATTAGTTAAAAATATCATAAATACGAATTTCTAAGTAATTATTATATATAAATGATATATTTTACTTTTAATGATAAAATATTTATGGTATATTTGAATTTTTTTGAATAAATTATGAAAATAATTTATAAAAATAGGTTATGAATTTTATATTTAAATAATTTTATAACTTATTTTTAATGATTTCTATGCATAAATTTATAACATAAGTTATTATATAAAAGTATTATTAAATATATTTAGTTAAACAATTTTTAATGTGTCTAAATGTTTATATTATATAAGAAATATCAAATACACTGTATTAAATACTTTAAATTATAATAAAACCATGTATTAAATATTTTTTATAATTTTAAAATAGTAAATGTTCTTACTTTAATAAAAAATATTTTAAAATTTTTAACATTTACTCTTAAATATATTAAAAAGTGTACACCTTGAATAAAATATATAAAATATTTTGTAAAGAATATTGTTGTTGGTAAGTGAGAAACAAAGGGTGAGTATTAAATAGCAAAGGGGTGATTATAGGGATATGAGTAAATTAAAAAAGTGTTAAAAATGAAGAAATATGAGAACCGATAAAAACAAGGGAAAGACGGCTAAGTAGGTATGAGATGTGAATGTGATTAGATGTTGTGGGCCCCACCATAGCTTCCCCTGCGCTTTATGGCCACCTCAGCTTTCCACCTTAGTTACCGTAAACGCTTCCTTCCCCCTCGTTGCTTCCTTTTGTCATTTCCATTACTCAAACGTATAAGATATTCCCATTCAACTTTTTTTTTAATATTAATTTTTAGCATTGTCTTATAAATCAAGATAACATCTCATATCTTTTTTAATTTTACAAAAATTATACAATATAGTTTAAAGTTTATAAAGACAA